AGAGAATTGGCTTATTTAACACTGTTTTATTAAACTAAGACAGCTCTCACTGAGGGGTCCAGACAGGCCACAGGTCATAATCATCATCCCTGAGTTTCCTACAGGAGGAATAAATGAACAGTGTGGACATTCAGCGCCCTCTGCCGGCCGCTTCCACACTTACATTACACTGACTATTACAGCTTAATGCTCTGTTAAAGCAAACTCACAGCTCTGTATTCAGTTTTTTAACGGTATAAAACTGTGTTAGAAACTTTGTCTGGGCCGTTATTTAAGACTGGAATGGCTCAAACTGTGAGGCAACATCAGCACGATTTACTGACACATACAGTATTTATACAAAACACACAACTCAGCGCAACTTAGAACATCACAGCTGCAAGAAATCGAGAAAAAGGATAAAGAACAAAGGAAAGAAAGAAAGAAAAGTAAGTAAATAGAAAGTAAATAAATCAGAAGAGAAGAAATGACAAAAAGAAAGGAAAAAAATAATGAAAGAAAGAACAAAAAGTAAATAGAAGAGAAGAGGAGAGAAAAAAGAAACAAAGAACAAGTAAATAGAAGAGAAGAGCAGAGAAGAGAAAATGGGAAAAAAGAGTGAAAGAAAGAACAAAAAAGTAAACAGAAGAGAAGACAAGAAAGAAAGAAATAAAGAATTAAGAAATTAAGAAAGAAAGAAAGAAAAAAGAAAGAACAAAAAGTAAATAGAGAGAGAAGAGAGAAAAAATAAAAAAGAAAGTAAGAGAAAGAAAGAAAGAGTGAGAGAAAAAGCAAAAAAACTTACATATAAGTAAAGAGAAGGGAAAAGAAGAAAAGTTAGAATGAAAGAAAGAACAAAAAAAGTAAATAGTGATAGAAAAAGAATAAAGAAAAAAAAAGAAAGAAAGAAAGAAAGAAAGAAAAGAAAGAAAGAAAGAAGAAGAAAACAGAAGGGAAGAGGAAAAGAATAAAAACAATGGAAAGAAAAATAAAGACAGAAAATGCACAAATCAAAGAAAAAGAAGAGTGATAAAGAAGAAGCAGAGAGATAGAAAAATGAACAAATCAAAGAAAGAAAAAAGAAACATTTATAAACATGAACATCTGTACAGCTGTGCAAATAAGCTTTGTGTTACAGAGGAGTTACTGTGATACAGTGATGGTGATTTATTGGATCTAGTTTAAAATGAAAAAAGAAGACAAAAGAAACTGAAACAAAGAAAGAAAAAAGAAGAAATTAAAAGCAAAAAAAATGAAAAGGGAAGACAAAAGAGAGGAAAGAAAAAAGAAAGAAAAGATGAAAAGAAAGCAAAGAAAATGATTTCTTTCATTTTCTTTTCTTCTTTTTAGAGAAAAGAGAGAAGGTGAGTTTTCAGTTCCTCTGAAATGTAAATGAGAACAGCAGCTCCCAGTCAGAGCCTCATTCAGCACCACAAGCCTGAGCATCAACACACTGAACCACATTACAGCGCTCTGAGCTGTCAGACAGAGCGCTACACCTGTTCACACAGCAGCCCTTCTTAACTCACTTCTTCATCACATTTTCAGCTCCACCTTAAATGGTGCAGTAGTTACGTTCTCCTGCCTCACCATTTAAGGCGGAACCTAAAAATTCAAATAAGACGCTGGTGAAAACTCCTCTAAACGTCTCCTCGACAAAGGCGATAAAACCTCCCTCTGTTTATACCATTTTACTGTGTTTGTCTCTCAGTTTAATCCTTGTTGACAGTCTGTCTTCTTGTCTGGTCCGTTCAGTGGGTTACATGTTCCTTTCTTTCTTTATTTTTTCTCTCTTCTCTTATATTTACTTTTTGTTCTTTCTGTCTTTTTTGTTCATTTTTCTATCTCTTCACTTCTTTGTTTTTTCACTTGCTTTCTTTTTCTTTCCATTGTTTTTATTCTTTTCCTCTTCTTTCCCTTCTGTTCTCTTCTTGTATTTATTTTCTTTCTTTCTTTCTTTCTTTCTTTCTTTCTTTCTTTCTTTCTTTCTTTCTTTCTTTCTTTCTATCTATCTTTCTTTCTTTCTTCTCTTTTTCTCTTTTCTTCATTATTTCTCTTTTTCCTCTTTTCTTCCATTTACTTTTTTCTTTCATTCTTTTTTACACCTTTCCTTTTTCTTCTCTTCTCTTCTATTTACTTGTTCTTTGTCTCTTTCTTTCTTTCTTTCTTTCTTTCTTTCTTTCTTTCTTTCTTCCCTTTGTTCTTTATTCTTTTTCTCTCTTCTTCATTATTTTTCTTTTTCCTCTTCTCTTCCATTTACTTTTTTCTTTCATTCTTTTTTACACTTTTTCTTTTTCTTCTCTTCTCTTCTATTTACTTGTTCTTTGTTTCTTTCTTTCTCTCTTTCTTTCTTTCTTTCTTCCCTTTGTTCTTTATTCTTTTTCTCTCTTCTTCATTATTTTTCTTTTTCCTCTTCTCTTCCATTTACTTTTTTTCTTTTATTCTTTTTTACACTTTTCTTTTTTCTTCTCTTCTCTTCTATTTACTTGTTCTTTGTTTCTTTGTTTCTTTCTTTCTTTCTTTCTTTCTTCTCTTTGTTCTTTATTCTTTTTCTCGATTTCTTGCAGCTGTGATGTTCTAAGTTGCGCTGAGTTGTGTGTTTTGTATAAATACTGTATGTATATGTACAGTGTGAACTATTTCAGTCTTAAATAACGGCGCAGTCAAAGTCTCTAACATTAAATGGCGCAGTAGTTTCGTTCTCCTGCCTCACCATTTAAGACGGAACCTAAAAATTCAAATAAGAAGCTGGTGAAAAAGAAGCCAAGTCCTGCGTCCAGCCATAAGTCCACTAACAGGCCTTCATCACACGCCTTAACCAAACAGCAACCAGAGCATCATCAGCTCCCTGGAGAGCGTTTGTTGGTGCAGTAAACCTGCACACACTCTGATCTGGGATCAGCCAGAGCTGCATAACTCAGAGTGAACTGTAGATAAATGAGACTGAACTGATCTGAGAACAGCCTCACAAAGCAGCTCATATCAGTGTTGTGTTTGTAATGTCTGAGTGAGCTGAACTCCCGGGAAACTAAAGCATAGAACACAGAACACAGTCCAGCACCCACAGCGCGAGGAGCTCGGCGGAACCCTCTAAACGTCTCCTCAATGAAGACGATGAAACCTCAATCTGTCTCCACTGTTCTTCTTATAGCTGTCTTACAGCAGCATTCAGTCTTCATAGGTGAGTCATAACTCATATCTTATTATTACAGCTACACTCTTGAAAAAGATGGTTCTCCAAGGGTTCTTTAGAAAAGAAAACGGTTGTGTATAAAACCATGAACACTCAAAGAACCCTCTGCATGATTAAAGAGTTCTTTGGGTCATGAAAGGTTCTTCAGATTGATGGTTCTTCTATTGTTACAGTGTCAAGCTTGTAGCAATAGAAGAACCCTTTCATGATGCAAAGAACCCTTTAATCATGCAAAGGGTTATCATCTAAACCGCTTATTATTATTATTATTATTATTATTATTGTTGTTGTTGCATCAGTAATTTTATTACCAGCATTTATTTTACCAGGGGGTCTCAACCTTTTCCACTTCAAGGCCTTTGGCATTTTGTGAATTTAACCCCTTAAAATCTCAGGTTTATTACATACTAAGGCTTACTATTCAGTAACTACATGGACTTCAGTGCAAACTAGTTGAGCTATTCTTAGGTTATAGAAGTGAGTAATAAAACTTTGGGTCATTTTTAACAAGAGGCGCTCGCAACTGAACAACTGAGATGTTTGGGGGAGTGTATTTTGTCTGTTATTTTGATTGTATGAAGATGCCTTTGTGTGTCATTGTTGTTTGGCTTTTTATTAATGTTGTTTACCCTTTGAAAATACCTTTTTTATTGTTAAGTCAATTATTTTTCCACTGATTTTTATCATTACCGGCCCACTACCACTGGCCCTCTTCAGTATTGACCCGAGGACCACCGAAGCGTGCTTCATGGCCCACTTGTGGTCCATGGCCCAGTGGTTGAGAAACTGTTTTACACTGTATAACGCTTTCCAGTCTGTATAATCTGACTCAGTGATGTGTGTGTGTTTTTAAGGTTCGCAGACAACACATACGACTCCACATAAAGGTGAGTCGTATTGGGATTGGTGTGATGTGCCAACTATAAAAATATGCTTTTAGTCCTGTATTTCAACTTAAATGAACCCCTTAACTAAGACAAGTCCGTCTGAAGGACATTAAATAAAATTAAATCTTAAAAAAGCTACAACAGTCCTTATCAAGTCAAAAGTGTTCACAGTGGTGGTGATAGGAACCAGACGTCCACCTCTAAAAGCTCCCTCACAGAAAGTTACTACATGAAATGGTTATGAATACGCAGCCTGATGTCTGAAACAATTGTTTTAAGAGACAAGGTCTAGGCCTAAAATACATTTTTTTTATTCATTCATGGCTTAAATAAACTATGCCACTATTTTACCATCATCATCAATCCATATATAAACTCAGAAGACAATAATAAATAAAATGTGTTGTAGTCATGGCGACCCCTGGTTCCTATCACCACCACTGTAACGAAATCTGTGTCTACAATCAACTATTTCATACCAAACCACTCTGAATGACAGTTTACATCTTGATTGAACTATGCAGAATGAAAAATCGGTGGCATTCCCCTTTAACTGAGGAGTTCAATCAGAACTCAGATCATAACAGATCATAATAGGGTTCGCATAGACTGGGAAAGCTCTTCAAGCTCAACATGGCATCTGTTTACGGGGAAAGTCCCGCCCTTTAATAAAATTAGCCAATCAGCTTGCTGTTTAAGCTGCGAGCGGGAAAAACCCCCTTCATTGTGAAGATCTGCGCACGCGCAGTAGCCACAACAAGCTGAAAAATCCCAATTTTGGTGCGTTATTTGAGCCAAACGCTACAAACAATTTATGCTGTTTTTGTCAGATTTTATCAGCAATTTCAAATATGTATTTTAAAGGTTATCATGCCTTTTAAATTCGGTGTTAGGTAGGTACGAGGTACGAGTGGACATAACAGCCAGGCGGCGTTGCCAAGATGGCCGTCGAGTGGACAGAGTTTACTATAACGACTTTGCTGAAATACAGCCGCGGTAAACACTGAGGTGAAGTGAAAAAGCAGGAGGAGAGATCAGAAACATGTTGTCTGCTAAACACGAAGCCCAAAATACTCGAATAGTGTGGAAACGCAACGCGAGATTAAACTTATTCCACCGTAAACGGCGTAAAACTGCGCGGACACACAGGCTCGTAAACGAGACCGAGCAGGTTTAGAGAAGCGCCTCTCTGATAGGATAGAGCCGTTTGACTGACACGCAAACCGACCAATCACAGACCGTTTAGCTCGGCGTTTGTGGAGAAACGTTACCAGCTGGTGAAAAACGTATGAGGAGGTCTCGTTTACGTTACTCGCTGCCTACGGCTTTTCAACAAAACTCTGCAATAACTTCTTAAAATAGGGTAGCGTGGATGTTTCCTGGTTCAACGGTTAGGCCTACATCTCGCTGTGAAAGTCTGAAAGGCTCATTGGTGAGGACTGTTTATTAACTGTTTACTACTAACAGTTAGCATGTAGCTTTATCAGGCTAATTAAAATAGAGTGAATGAAGCGCGGATAGCCAGAGCCTGTTTAAATTCACTGTGGGGGTTAGAAAGTCAGTTTACTACTGTGACTAGAGAACCAAATTACTGAAATACAGCAACAACTCTTAATATTTTACGAAGTCAGCTACTTCTTCCAATTGTCCCGTTCCACCTTAAATGGTACAGCAGTTCCGTTGTGGCTGCTCGACTTCAGCCTTATTCTTAAACCGCAGTACCTGCCGTCCCAGCCCCTATTACCAAGCTAGCTAAAAACAAATAAAAGCTCATTTTTATTTGTGTTAATATGGTCGCAAATTAGTTTCCCCCCACACTGAGTTTATTGTAGTGATGGCAAGAAACGAAGATTTCCTTTAAAATGTTATACAGTCCCTGTTTGAGTGGAGCGACCGGCGATCTGTTCTCCTGTGACCGAGTGTGGGTGACGATGTCAGTAGTGTAACTGTACTGTCCTACAGCGAACTCACCTCTTTCTGTACATCCTAACAACTTTAGCGGTGTTAAATCACGTCTGCTCCACACAACTACAGCACTGTTACAGCGCCAAACCGTCATATTTTAATATTAGTGCATTCTCGAGCAATGAAAGTGAAAGTGGGTTCATGTAAATTACAGCCCTGATTTAAACGAAAGTAAACTGAGGAAGCTGTGAGGCATTGGAGAGCGGGAGAGCGCTATCTGTCCAGGCTAGCTGTTTTTAGCAGCTGGCTAATTGAAGCAGCGCTCCGGCACAACAGATCAAACAAGACACAAAATCACCGCTTTCAGTTTAAACATACCTGAAAGGAGGACTCTGTGACTGGTGTGAGAGATTCACACTGCAGATAATGCTTTTACACAGCGAACGTCAGATATACTGCGGTTCACCCCTTAAACTACTGCGATAGCATAGAGAAACCCAGCCGTCGCTAGCTGGTGTCTGAATACTGTGATCTGCTCTGACATGGATGTGGTAGGAGTGACAGCAGTGACCTACCGAACCGAGCTGACGTTGTTGAGAAACTAAAGAGTTTAGCACTGCTGTTGGCCACTTGTTTAGCATTTGTAACGGGATAGCCGAGCGCTCGTCACCATTTCACCATGCAAAGAACCATTTAAGCATTACATGGATATATATAGAACTTATATATAGAACTTTCCCTTTGCTAAAAAACCTTTGAAGAAGCATCTTCTTTAAGAGTGTACTTAAGGCAGATCTAAATAAAAACAGAGACATTTGAAGCATGTAAAACATTCAAGTAAAATTATTATTTGTTCAATTAAACAAAGTGCTGCTTGTGGGGAAATAAACATTTAGGAGTGAAAGTGCTCTGTGGCCAGGGGTTTAAAATCTAGAGGCGAGATCTAAAACCATGGCGCTCTTCGTTAAATAAAAGCCTTATTATGGCTATGGACAAAAAATCTTGTCAAGAATTTGCACTCGGTAATGACTTCCTGCTTTCTCAAACACTAGGGGGCGCTCCTGAGCGAGTCCAGAATGAATGGGTTAATATGGAGCATTTGAGCAAAATCATAGTTTATAAATGCCTAAATCTTTTTAATATAAAAGAACACAGTTATTTCCTGAACACAGAGCAGCATAAAACACTTTAACACTGCTGTTATATTTTTAAGAGCTTTTAAACTCGAGTTATTGGAGTTTAAAACGGCGCCTCATGTACGTTCATGACGTCTGTGAGCGCGAACAGCCAATGAGCTGCTCCGCTCGCCAACCAATCAGCACTCTGTAGCAGTAATGTTAGTCCTGCTGCCCAAAACCTGTTTGCTGTAGAAAAAAGGAAACATACAGGTGAGATTTCTTTGCTTTTTTGGTGAAATACATCCTTCTACTTTCTAATTAAAGGAAGGTTCTGGTTCAGTGATTAGAAACTATTTAACTTTTCGTTTTTAGCAGTTTAACTCCATTTACTCCCATTCATTGAGGACTCGCTCATGGGCGCCCTCTGCTGTTTTGCAGTCTTGTTTTTGATATAACGGAGGAAATAGGAAGAGGCCAGGCTCCTCATAAACCATCTCTGTAAACACCTCACGTTTTTTTTTTTTTCACATAATTATGAAAAACATGATCATGTGTCGTTCCATGTGACCATTTTCCAAGCCCCCCCCCCCATAATGTGACATCACAACCATGATAAAGAGCATCTTTATTTGTGCTTATATGCTTTTCTGTGGTCAGCTCCAGGCTTTGTTGACCTGCCTATGTGGGTGGAAGTGGCGGAGAGCGCTGTTCCTGGATCAGCGATAGTTCAGTTTCAGATCCAGAGTGATGAACCCCACCCAGACCTTCAGGTCCTGTCTGTGAGCCCACCAGCTGCACTCTTCCAGACCCCCATCATCAACCCAACGGACATTCCTGACCTCTACATCGTTCAGGTGACTCTTTGTTATTCACTGAGAGTCCACTTTATTTACAACACCTACCGTGTAGCTAAACATATGGCCATTTTATCAGGAGCACCCGCCGTATAGGTTTACAACAGATGTTTTTGCAAGAATCTTAAAGAACTAGGTTTTAAGCCAAAACCTCATCTCACGAACTATCATAACTATTATTAAATGTCTCAGACATCAGGCAGTTTATTCATAACCATTTCATGTATTTCATGAATAACTTTCTGTGAGGGAGCCTTTAGAGGTGGATGTTTGGGGCCGCATTACCGAAACTTCTTAAGTCTGAAATCTTATCTGTTTAGTCACCATGACAACTTCAGTTAGGACTGAATTTAGGACTGAATTTAGGACAGAAGCTGTTACAGAACAATACTGTAATAAAAAGTTCATAATCTCAACAGTATTACAGAAACGTCAGAACTAGATTAAATCTCATATATACTGTCCTAACTTTAGGATAAACCCCAGAGGGTATAAACTTCTGTCTGAACCATCTGTTTCTGTCTGTTTATGCTGTTTCAGGTAGCATAGTTCAGTACTAGCATGGTAACGTTACATTTATCTGCATCGAAAACGGTGCTTTGCTTTAAAAACCTCAGACCCTGCAGTCACGATCTCCACTCTTATTACTTCTGTGTGTTAATGTTGATGATAAAATATTACAGTGATGGTGGTGAATAATGAGGAGACAAAGCTGAACGTTGATCAGTATGATCAGTTGCTAGGTAACAGACATGACAGTTGTTTATCGACGTCGGTTGAGGGAGTTAAGATTTCCTAACTTGAGATAAGAAGCTGTAAGATAAGATAAGATTCCTAAATTAAGATAAGATTTGCTTCTGTAACACAAATTTGTGAAAAATCTTATGTTGATCTGTCAGATCTTAAGACAAAGAGGTAAGAAGTTTCTGTAATACGGCCCCTGGTTCCTATCACCTCCAGTTAGAGCTGGGCGATCTGGCCAAAAATGTTATCACGATAAACAAAATTCATATCGTTCGATATCGATACATACCGCGATAAATGTCAAATCATTATTTCTTTCAAGTTTGAAGGCTGATTTTTGCTCCTGGGTGGTTAACTGCTGTTTTAAACCATCCTTTATGGTCGGAACACGACGAACACTCACCAAACAGTGGAACAATTCACAAATCTGTCATGGGAGAGTGGGAGAAAGTGTCTGGTGAGCTGTTTTTACCAGCTGGAAAAGCACGGCTATTTTGTAATAGGCATAATTTAAGAAAGATTATTTTACCTGGTGCCGAGCGCTCGGCTACCCCGCTACAAATGACATCACAGTATTCAGACACCAGCTAGCGACGACTGGATTTCTCTATTCTATCGTAGTGGTTTAAGTGGTGAACCGCAAAATATCAACACCAGACAAACAGAGTCCTCCTTTTAGGTACATTTAAACTGAAAGCGGTGCTTTTGTGTCGTGTTTGATCTACAGTATCATCAGTTCTCCGTGTTGTGGAGTGACGGAGCTGCTTCAAGTTAGCCAGCTGCTAAAAACAGCTAACCTGGAAAGACAGCGCTCTCCTGCTCTCCAATGCCTCACAGCTTCCTCAGTTTACTTTCGTTTAAATCAGGGCTGTAATTTACATGAACCCACTTCTTTCTTTTACTTTCGCTGCTTGGGAATGCACTAATACTAAAATATGACGGTTTGGTGCTGTAACAGCGCTTTAGTTGTGAGGAGCAGACATGATTTAATGCTGCTAAAGTTGTTCGGATGTTAGGAAAGAGGTGAGTTCGCTGTAGGACAGTATAGTAACACCACTGACCTCGTCACTCACACTCGGTCACAGGAGAGCAGATCGCCAGTCGCTCCACTCAGTCAGGGAACGTATAACTCCGCTTTCAGCCGTTGCTAAAGACTCCTCTTACTTGTGGCCCCCTCCCTCTCTAATCAAGTAGAAAAACTCTGAAGTGCGCCCTCTCCTGGCGACAGCTGAGTAGTGTCGCTTTCCTTGCAGTAGAAAACGCCACCAAGGCTTTCGCTGAACGTGGAAGTGTGAGAGCGGTGTATTATATCGAACATTTATCGAACATGCCGTATCGAAATCATGTCAAAGTTATATTGCGATAATTATTGTTATTGTTTTATTGCCCAGCCCTACCTCCAGTGTGAACAATTCTGACTAGAACAGAGCATTTCACACCAAACCACTCTGAATGACTCTGTTTACATCTTAACCACTTAATTATTCAGGAATTTTGAAAAATAGGTGGGATTTCCCTTTAAGGGCCAGCTCTATGCTTTAAAATATGAACAAACATTGTGCCACGGTTTGATACAGATGCGCTCAACAGTGTATTTTATCACAGACTACGCTGATCTATCAGTGAAGGGTGATCATGTAGGTCCAGAAGAGTTTTAGTTTGAGTAGATAGTGTAATTTTGTGAAGTTGGAGGACATTTGTCATGTATATTTGTGCAGCAGTAAGAGCCGACGTGCCACTGGCAGTGATTTTTGATTGGGTTTTATTAAAGTAGAGGTTTGAAGCTTTGATGTGCTTTATTATTCCCCCGGATTCAGATCATGCTGAACAGCTCGCTGGACTTTGAGCGAGTCAGGCTCTACAGCGTGCGTCTGGGCATCGCCACGGCCTCCAGCCTCGTCCAGCAGAGCTTTCATCTCAGAGTCATCGACGTCAATGAAGCTCCAGAGTGCGAGACACAGTTCCAGTTTCCAGGTGCTTTTCTCTCTTAAGCAAGCCATCATTAGCTTTAAAGGAATAGAGGAATAATTCACCCAGTTCCTCCTTCATCCCAAATTAAGTCAGTCAGCCAAGATGTGTCCAGTAAAAGTAGAACCCCAATTCCAAAAAAGTGGGGATGCTGTGTAAAATGTAAATAAACATGTAAATAAAATCAGAATGCAATTCTTTGCAAATCTCATAGACCCATATTTTATTCATAACATAGAACACATACACTGATCAGGCATAACATTATGTCCACCTCCTTGTTTCTATACTCTGTGTCCATTTTATCAGCTCCACTTACTATATAGGTGCACTTTGTAGTTCTACAGTTACAGACTGTAGTCCATCTGTTTCTCTGCATACTTTGTTAGCCCCCTTTTACCCTGTTCTTCAGTGGTCAGGACCCCCATGGACCCTCACAGAGCAGGTACTATTTGGGTGGTGGATCATTCTCAGCACTGCAGTAACACTGACGTGGTGGTGGTGTGTTAGTGTGTGTTGTGCTGGTGCGAGTGGATCAGACACAGCAGTGCTGCTGGAGTTTTTAAACACCTCAGTGTCACTGCTGGACTGAGAATAGTCCACCAACCAAAAATATCCAGCCAACAGTGTCCTGTGGGCAGCGTCCTGTGACCACTGATGCAGGACTAGAGGATGACCAGCACAAACTGTGCAGCAGCAGATGAGCTATCGTCTCTGACTTTACATCTACAAGGTGGACGACAAGGTAGGAGTGTCTAATAAAGTGGACACAGTGTTTAAAAACTCCAGCAGCACTGCTGTGTCTGATCCACTCAGACCAGCACAACACACACTAACACACCACCACCACGTCAGTGTTACTGCAGTGCTGAGAATGAACCACCACCCAAATAGTACCTGCTCTGTGAGGGTCCATGGGGGTCCTGACCACTGAAGAACAGGGTAAAAGGGGGCTAACAAAGTATCAGAGAAACAGATGGACTACAGTCTGTAACTGTAGAACTACAAAGTGCTCCTATATAGTAAGTGGAGCTGATAAAATGGACAAAGAGTGTAGAAACAAGGAGGTGGTCATAATGTTATGCCTGATCGGTGTATCAGATGTTGAAAGTGAGACATTTTACCATTTCATGAAAAATATTAACTCATGTAGAACTGTTGGGACCGGGCTGTGTCCACAATTGTGTAGCATCCCCTCTTCTTTTAGCAGCAGTCTGTAGACGTCTAGGAAGTGAGGAGACCAGTTGCTGGAGTGTTGGGAGAGGAATGTTGTCCTATTCTTGTCTGATGTGGGATTCTAGCTGCTCAACAGTCCTGGGTCTTCTTTGCTGGGTTTTTCGTTTCATGATGTGCCAAATGTTTTCTATTGGTGAAATATGGCAGGCAGGCCCGTACAGCACCCGGACTCTTCTTCTGCGAAGCCATGCTGTTGTGATGGATGCAGATTACTACTTCAGGGAAATAATGACTGCAGGACAAGTAGAAGCATGTTTCCTTAAAACAACTTGAGTACAAGTACAAAAGTAGCAGCGTAACTAGAATTTTATGGGACTCGTACAATAATTACTTTCAATTGATAGACAATAACAATGTAATTTGCATGTTTATACTGTAGTTATGTCTCAGTTGAGTTGATGTTCTGAAGGCGTGCCATTTCACGCACTAGCATCCAATGTTACATGTTTGTTACTTACTTGGATTGCTATACATTATTTATCAGTAAAGCCATTTAGAAAAGAATACAGTTAGAAGAACATAAGTTTGGTTCCTGGCTTCTCGCTGCACTCCAGCCATCGCATGCATCTGTTCAATTCCATCAGCCATATTAATAAGCCATATTAATTACATGAAGTATTGATTAATATAAATAAGGCATTAGATTAAATCCTCGAGGAGAGATTTTGTCAAATCATTGAACTTACACACCTCAAATCACAGTGGATTGTTCAGTGGTTTGTTCACATATTAATGTATGTAGCTGTGCTGTGCTCTAGTTTCGTTCATCCTTAGTGCAACTGGCCTGGACGGTCCAGCTGACAGGTCAGATTACCGACTGGATGGGCAGTTTGAGCCACCATGGCCCACCAGGTAGTTAAGCCACTTGTAGCATCTCAAAAAACTACTGAGCAACTTGCAGACCTGCAGTGAAAAATTCTAGTACATCCAGCATCTAAAAGCATGGAAACTGAATTTGTTAGGCTCTGTTATCCTCTTTTTTTGTCTAAGATAAAATGCCAGAGGTCAAAAGTGGGAGCAGTAAAACGAGCTGAACCAACAAAACAGAATAAACCAAAAAAGGGAATTAGTGGTTAAATATTAGTGACTAAGATGAGTAAAAACTAGATTGTTCACTAATTTACTGACTGAGTCTGAGTTAAAGTATTATAATTTGGAAAAAAAACACCTTGTGTTTTTAAATCGAGTACATGTAACTGAGTCAATGTCTAGCAATGCTAATGTACTTTTATCTAGTTTTATAGATAAGTGTGTCATACAGTGTCGGAAACCACATAGTCGATCTATCAGAGATTACAAAACAACTCAGCATGGTTTAAGGCAAGTGAGTGATTATATAGGCATGCAGTTGGCACCACATGCTTAAGGTATAATTAGCTACATTAGCTTCATCTTCATAAGCCTAATTTTCTCTGGTCTGTAGCACCAATTTCCATCATCTGCACAGCATCATCTTACTTAGCAAAGCAGGTTTGTCTTTTCGCAGGGGTGGAAGTTCGTGTTCCAGAAGACGTTTCACCCTATGAGCCGCTCTACACTGTTCCTGTTAGGGATCTGGATGAAAACGACACCATCAGTGCAAGTATCTCTGGCTGATTTGTGATTTGTTCTCTTCAGCAGCAGCAGGGGGACCTAGGGGTGGGTGATATAGCAAAAATGTAAAATCACAATCCATGATATGTCTCAATATTTATTTTTCTGACGTCTGATAACAAAGTAGTGCCATGTTCAAAAAATACTATCAAAAGCAGCAAATGCAGTGATATGTATTCAGCATTTCACATACTGAGCTGCACTGAATCTAACTAGATATATAGATATACAGATAGATAGATAGATCATTATTGTCATTGCTTAAAAACATTGAAAAGCCATTTAGCAGCTTTAGAATTGACAGCAAGGACATGCATAAAAAAGGAAATAAAGATAAATAAGGCCAAAGATGTTAAGATAAACACAAACAGATAGTATACAAAACATACTAGTGCAAAATGCAGTTTAGTGCAAGATGAAAAGTATCTCAGTCTCAGTCTTAGTCTTAGGGAGGAGCGTGGGGGGAGGCAGGACAGCCTGTGGGAAGAAGCTGTTTTTAATCTGTTAGTTTTTTTCTGATTGATCTGAATCTCTTTCCTGAGGGGAGGGGGGAAAACAGGGTATGTCCAGGGTGAGTGGGGTCCTTTGAAATACAGCTGGCTTTCTTTTGGAGTGGGCCAGTGTAAATGTCTCTAAAGGGGTAGTGTCATACCAGCGGCACACTCTGAAGGACGAATTATGCTCTCTTTGTAATTAAACATGCAGTTGGGAAGCCTTTTTAAGTACTGTGTTGCCCAGCTCTAGGGTGACTCTGTGTCCTCTTCTTGTGGTCTATACAGACCATCTGACGTGGATTTTTAATTGCATAAAATGCCCGGGATGTGGCTTTGCTTTCATGTTGACATTTGCTATGATATTTCTGGTCTGCCCTGTGCTACCAGTGTCTCTTATTTTTTTTGAAAACCAAAATATGGTCACCCTACTCAAGAGAGATCAGACCTCTTCACACAAGTGACCGTGTTTTGATGTTAACATTAGCTTCTCTTTTGCAGTTTGTCATCAGTGAGGTTCTTCCTGCATCCTCCCTTGGACAGTTTCAGATCGATGGACGAGGGAAAATCACCTCTGATCAAGCTTTTGGCTACCAGAGAGGACCAAAGGTCAGCTTAGCTTAACTGATGGACCAATAATCACCTCTTGATCATGAGCCAAGAGCTTTCATGTACTTTCAGTATGTAAATCTGCAAAGTCCTGTGTGGAGCACTTTTCCAATTGCACAGCTTGCTAACGTGTCAAAGTGATCAATGATGCAGTGCAGTGCCTCCAAAATACTGTTTTTTTACTAATGTTGAGGTGTATTGATGAGAAAAGGAAACTACTTTCTACTCAATTACATTTTAGTCATTTTTAGCTACGAGGTCATAAAAAAGGTATTGTACACATACATCTTTGTTTATCAAGGTACACACAATGGAAATGTGCCCTCAAAAGTACAGTGGTCATCCAGTAGTGTAGCTTAAATGAGTTTTAAATGGACATCTTTCCAGAGGAAAGATGCATATTTGTACCTTTTCGTAACTTATTAAAATAGAAAAGTAAAATAATAAGCTTTGAGACAATGTAAGGTGTCGATGCAAATATAGGACATATTATTGCAATGAAATATGATGCACTTATTTTCGCTCAGATGTACCACCCCAATGACAGTTGAGTACCCTTGTCTATTCTTTTTTTTTTTGTTTTTCAGTTTAATTTCATAGACTTAAATAGGCTGGTTTTGTTACTGTGCCTTTCACACTAGTATGTGTAAATGAGATCTGAAAGATTAATCGTGTTTATCAAAATTGAAGTTTGAAAGAGTGCAATTTTTAAATCGCAAGAGCTGCAGTTTGTATTATAGAATATTGTAACCTACTAACACAGAGCTTGTGAACTGCCTGTAGGTGAGTTAGACCAATCAGAAGCAACAAACTTCGCTGTACTGTGTATGCGACAACTCAACCATCAAAGCTAACTGGTAGTCCAGCGCACTCAGTGTTCAAGCTAATGCCAGAAAAAGTGGATATTCTGGTCTTTTTGGCCAGAACAAATTTCTATTTCATCTTTGATATTCTATAAAAATGAAGGTCATTTGCTTTCCCACTCCTATTCTGGCATCCAACAGCACAAGAAGAAATTTGTTGAGGCAATTTTGCCCGTTGAGGCAAAACACAGATGTCTGTGGTTGTCCCTGATGTGCTTGCTGTGTCCATCCTCACATAAAATAACTGTACTTTCTCAGGACTTTTCTCTGTCTGTGGTTGTGAGGGACAGTCAGGGTGCCAACTGCAGCGGGAAGGTGCGGATCAAAGTCCTGAAGGTGTTCACTCCGCCCCTCGACTTCCTGTGAGTTTAAAGGGCATCTTCTCTGAAGTAATCCACTGTTCTCTATTTTATCACTTTGAAGTGTCAGGGGTGTTCAACACAAATAAGTCCATTAACGCAGCTCACATGTACACTGAGTCATTAAGGCTTTTATCTGATGCTTTTTTTGGATAGTTTTATCCAGAACCACCTACAAACAATGTGCAAAAGTGATGATAAGCAGCAGTAGCTCAAAAGTGAAAAAAGTCATTTAGTGTCAAATTATGTAAATTTTATGAAAAATCCTCTTTAGGTGCCTGAAAACTGATCTGTTCTAAACTCCGCATACTTAAATCATGACTTCAAGCAGTATTTAATCCAGCTGAACGTTTAACTTGTTTCAGAAAACTGTTCTCGTTATGCTGTGTTGAATAAAAGAAGATTAACTTTCAGTTGCTCTCCAGTCTTCCTGTTCAGAATGTGTCTGTTTTGGAGAACGGAGGAGCAGGAGATTTTGTCACCGCTGTGCAGGCAAATCCAAACATCTCAGCTGTGTTTTACACATTTGTGAAGCCGTATCCACCTTACAAAATAGGACCAGGTAAGCACAGCAGCTTCAGTGATTCAGTTCAATTAGTGGCCCATTCCATTAGAACCATTACGCCGCTGTTGTCGGAAGAAAACCTCGTATCTGCAAAAAGAGAAATTCACAGGAAAAGGAAAAAACCTACTTTACCTTTTAATATAAGTCAATGGAACCAGACTTTTTTCCAAGTCGTTTTGGGCTGTTACCTTTGGTCCATTTATCATGAAATTTTCACAGAATGTGAAGAGCAACAGACATTTCACATTCAGTTTCTAGTAACTTTATTAAGTAAATCTATACAGCATTACTTGAATAATTGGGTAGCTTGTAGTCCAAAGAAAAAACAAATATCTCCAAAATGATAACTTTACAGGAGAGGCCAAAACAGTTTTTACTAAGTTAATACAAAGGTATTTCATTCTCAGCAATTTTGGAGCATTTCTGTTGATCCTTTCATCATGAAATTTTCAGACAATATAAACAACTGCTGTGCTCAAATGATATAGAAAAAAAAATCACATAAGAATTGAGATACTTGTTTATTTTGTTTGTTTTTTGGACGATATTTTTATTTGTTTTGTACCAATATGTGTTGAGTGACAACTAGCAATGCATCGATATGGGAAGTGTGGGCCATTGTCGATATCTGATACATATGCCAATACATAAACATTTATAAAATGTAGGGAATTCAGATTAAATCTATCTGGATTAGCATTACGGAGAAAATTACACTTACAAATGCAGTAAAATGAATGAAATGCTGACATTTGAGGACGGTAGCCCACTGTCACAAAAACATTCTGCTCTCCTGGAGTCAAATATCAGTCAGATGTAAACATCTAACAGTTATCTTCCGATACTGATATGAATCTGATTTCATTGTCCACAACTGCCTGTGTTTAGATCATTAATTGTGTAGCTTGTAGTTTTCATATGTTTATTTTGACATATGCACATCTGTTTTACTCTTAAATTTCTGTATATCATTAATTGATTAATTGGGTAGTTTGTAGTTTTTTATACATTTATTTGTCATTTCTTATTACTGGTAACTGTCAACTTTGTATACATCATCAATTGTACATTTCTGTACATAATCTGTACATAATTAATTGATATAGAGGACGGCATCATCAGAACAGCATATAATCTGGATCTGGAGGCAGACAGAACTCTGATGCGGATGGTTCTGCTGGTCCGAGCCCTCAGCGTTATAGAGAACCGCAGCGGAACCGCCACCATCACCGTACATGTGCTGGATGTGAACGAACACCCACCGTTCTGCTCTCCTCCGATCATCCTGTAAGAACCTTGCAGGCTTTCAGAGTGAACTGCTATTCAGCGCTGGTGTAGTATGTAGTGGCGCAGTCCTGTTATCAGTAACATACTTACTGAATGGTAAAATGTGCCAATTCATAAAGTGACAGTCAAATGACTTAAAGGAGGCGTCAGCGATTCTGGAGAAAACTCCCTTCAGTGCTCCTTCAGAAGCTCCGCCCCCAATTCAGGGACCCTCGTTGCCAAGGCGAACAACATGAACGGGCTAGCAAACTTACTTTATAGATCAAAACCCTTCGCAAGCGTTGTACGACAAATACCATGATATAATGTTAGCAACAACGACACAGAAAGTAATGTAACTAACGTTAGCCAGGTTGTGGGTTTGCAAATTGTTGCTACAATATCTCTTGTGAAGATAATTAGTTTAGGATAAGCATCACATACATTAGCAAACAGGACAAAACAACCCTGCCCCATTGATTCTGTGAAACGGCAAAAATAAGTTAATGTTACTCACCTGTCAAGCAGAAACAGAGCAGTCTCCTCGACCCTTTCATGCCTTTCAACTCCCCGTTCCCAATCCTGTGCACAAACGCCCCTGTTGCTGATTGGCTGGAATAGTGTTGTGTTGTTTGGCCCGAACCGCTTCATTTCTTTCCCATTTACAGAGCCGGATCTGTATACAAACACAGTTTTTTTCCCAGCGCGCACAGAATGGACAGCTAGCAGACTGCGAGATTTACTGAATTTGACAAATGTATTGGATTAACGTCACTTACTGCACCTTCAAAGCAACAGTCCCAAACAGGCTAACAGACCGTTTGTTACTAATATATGTAAATGAGCTCTGTTCTGATTGCCCTGTATTGTGCCTTGTTTAGAAAGCAGTCCAGGCTGAAAAACTCCTCATAGCTTCAGTGTGAATGGGCAGAGCTAAACTGCTGTGTGCTTAATAAGCAAATTTATGTTTACTCATTTTCATGACATCAAAAACAATGAATTTAAAATGCGCTGTTTTTGCAGCTAAGTTTCCTTATATGGACTGAACCGTACAGTTTGAAGATTCAGCAGTGTTTACATATTACATCAAACTTTTTAATAAAAAAAAAGAGGAAAAATCAGTTTTCCATGATATGGAAACCTGAACTATAACAGTATTTAGCTGTGTTATGCTTATAGCATCAGTGCAAAAAATAATTGTTCTTTAACTGCAGTTTTCTGTCGTTAACAGTAGTTTGTCTTGTATTTTTGATTTTTTAATAAATGCTTTTACAGCATATTGTGTAACATATTTTCCTGGTTTTAACTGCAGTTTTTAATCACATTTCTGCAGTTTAACTGTGCCTGAGACCACAGAGGTAGGCCGCAGTCTGGGCACGCTCACGTGTGTCGACGTTGACGTCAACAACCGCAACGTTACTCTCACACTGATTGAGAGTGACCTCTCACTCTTCAAATTCCGCCTGAGGAGCGGCCAGCTGCAGGTAACACGACCTACGAACCCAGCAACCTTTAAAGGGAAATTCCACTGGAATTTTATTATTATTAATTCTGCTTAAGCTGTTGAGATGTAAACAGAGTCATTCAAAGTGGTTGATGTGAAGTGGTTCATTGCTGAGAAACTTTATTGCTTTACAGTGGTGGTGATAGGAACCAGGAGTCGCCATGACTACAACACAGATATAGCCATTTTATTTACTATCCAAAACCACCAGTGAACCTACACATGACTGAGTTTTTGAGTTTTTATATACGTAATGTTAATGATGGTACAATAATGAAAAAAGTTTTCCAGTCTTCAGACATCAGGCAGTGTATTTACAGCCATTTCATGTAATAACTTTCTGTGAGGGAGCTTTTAGAGGTGGACGTCTGGTTCCTGTCACCACGCTTAAGACAATGTGCTGGAATAAAGAGCCAAAGCAACAGGTGTTGTCCAGTTGCATAGGGCATTAAAGGGGAATTCCACTGATTTTGTATAAAAAAGGTTTGTAATTCATATACAGTTCACCATATATATTTTCGCTTTCTGAACAAAACCTTGTAAAACGGTAACTTTTCAGGAGAAGGAAAAAACATTCTTAACTTACAATGGAAGCTAATATAAAAGTATATTTTGCCAGGTAATTTTAGATCATTTTTTTATCTGTTAATTTAGAAATTTGCACAAAGAGCAGGTAAAATGATGAAAATAGAGAGAGAAGTTTTGTTCCGACAGTGCTGACATATAAATGTAATATATTTAGTATGAGCTTCACGTGTTTACAAAAAGCACTAATAGAAACTGGGCAAATATTTGGCCAGTTTGGCCATAAAGAAATCTGAAATGGTTATAAAAATGCATAATCGGTGCACCTCTACTGTTTAACACTAAAGCTCCAGATGGTATATTAGTTCTTAATAGTAATCAATCAATATTACTATCAATCACTGTTAAAATACTATTATTACTGCTGCTACTACTACTAATAATAGTGCAGTGATGTAGATTACGTACATTATATTTGTCATGAAGTGATGATGTTCCTAAAACAGAACTTCCCATATCACAGATCTTCCTTTGACATATTCCTATTTTTTCTCAGGTGAACAATAGTTTGGATTATGATGTCGAGGGAGTTGCTGCAAATAACTTCCAGTACGAGGCCGTCATCTTGGCCACTGACTCCGGGAGTCCAGCGCTGACCAGTGTGTAATCTCAGTTATCTTCATTAATCTGCATTCTGGTGGTTTATGGATTAAATCAGTTTAATTAAATCAGACCAAAAATACATGGACTAAAAACTTGATATACATTAAAGTTAAGAACTTTTTTTCATTGTAGTTACTGTTTTAAAGATGTACGGTTATATTTTGCCACAACAGCAACAATATTTTAATTAGCCTCAATTGGTCCCACATGGTGGAAGTGTCTATGTATATATATTTTCTTACGTGCAGTATATGTCAATATATGTGATGGCTTAGCTCTGAATATATGCATAATATATGTCAATAATTGATGACTTGGTTCTCAATTTTCAATTTTGTTATATGGCACTAAGATTTCTGGTATATTTATTGAATATCAACATATAATAGAAATATAGTGTCAATTTAGTGGTGCCGGTTTTTTATTATTTACATATATATCAAAAATATATGTAAATACATTTCCGTTTTCTTTGAGGTATTTTGATGTGTGACTGTGTATGATGTCTACATGTATTTCCTTTTTATTTGAGGTTGAACTGACCCGCGACCGTAAATCGCTCTGTAGTTCAGTGTGGTGTAAAATACACAAACACATAAAAAAATTAACTCAGACTTTTCTAATCCCTCCCGTTTCCAGCTGAAGTCCAGGTTCTGGTGACGGTGCTGCCAGTAAATGAGTTTGACCCGCAGGTCGTGGCTCCGTTGGTTCTGCCTGTTCTAGAGGACGCCCAGCGTGGGTCAGTTGTCGGAGTGGTGACTGCTGTAGATCGGGATTGGCCTTTCAACTCCGTCAGACTCTCCATCCCTGGAGGAGACCCTCTCTTCTCCATTGACCCGATCGGAGGTGAGACGGTGGGTCTGGGGTGCTTTTACATAATTCAGTCTTTAGGGGCAGGTTTTATAAACACACTGAACCTGGTCTTGGATTTATCCTTAAAAGTTCTGCACTGACTTTTTTCATAAAGCACAACACTGAGCTTGATCACAGTGTCACTGCAGTATTGTTTGAAATGAGAATTGATTGAAATGAGAGTTTTGGGCTTTCTGTTCTCCCCTGAACATACAATATATTCTGTATAAAGTACGTTGTTTTAACATGAAAGAGGAAAAACACTCCTAGTGAAAGTAGTGTTTGTCCACCTGGTGGTGCCACTGAACAAATTTCATTTTTACCCAAGCTCACTTTTTGTTCATATGTTGTTCTTTGCTGCATGTTTATTTTTCTTAAGCTATTAGGGCCAAAATAATAATGACAACATGCTGACTGACCCTAATGGCTTTCTTTCAAAATGACCAACCTCAGCATTCTAGCTGGAACTATCAGTTAAAGTTTGGTCTAGAAGGGATAAATATTGTTATCATATCTGTGCAGGACAGCTGTACCTGAGGGCTGAGCTGGACTTTGAAGAGAAGCAAGTGCACACAGTGAGGGTTCAGGCTGTAGATTTTGGCCAGGACACAGACTGGACGAATCAGAGGACGAGTGCTACTGACATCACCATTCAAGTGCAGGTGAGCTGCAGTATGTAAAAATATAATCACAGTACTCTTTTGCCCATATTGTGCATATCTTTCCCCCCTAGTTCCTACTGAGGGGGGGGATATTTGAACAAACAAATAGCAAATAAATGAACTTTCTTGTGCTCTTTTTCTTTCTCTGAAAGCGAATAATAGTTTTCACTCTTCTGAGTCAGACATCAGTTACACTCTTACACTGTTAAACAAGTTTATTTTGGTGTATTTTTTCCTCCTCAGAATGTGAATGATAACGCTCCAGTGTGTGACCCGGTCTCGTACGAGTCCAGCATCTTCTCCACACTATCTGCTGGGGTTGCCATAGTAACCCTAACCTGCACAGACCTAGACGGAGACATCCTCTCTGCCACCATCACCAACGGTAACCATCTCACAGTAACTAATCGTTCTACTGCATCCAGCAGTAACTGTGTCATAGCAACGAAGTGTTCTGTTGTAACCAATGGTAACAGTCTCACAGCAATTATAACATTCTGTTGTAACTATTGGTAACAGTCTCACGGCTACCACACATTTTACTGTAGCCAACAGTAGAGGTGAGAATCACAGGGCAATACGATATTATCACGATATGTTAACCATGATACTGCGATTCTGTGATACTCGATATAGTGCAAGAAAATCCTTTACAGTACATCACGATGTCTGTGTAACTGAAGAAAATAAAATACCTCTAAATAGGCAAATAGCAGGAATTATGTATTTATTAGTGTCAGTTTCACAGAATTTGACAACCAATATGAAACAATTTGCACTTAGGTTAGCTTCATGCCTCTTTAACACACACACACTGACTGCGTGTGACATCACTCCAAAGTAAAATAGCCATAAACTGCAAGAAACCAGAACAGTTCTGGGATTAAAACGTCTAAAGGTAGAATTTTTAAACTATACTGTTTGCTATACTAATGCTGTTTGCTATCCGGTGTCGACCAGAGGAGGATTTTTGAGTCTTGGTTCCTCTCAAGGTTTCTTCCTCGTGTTCTTAGGGAGTTTTTCCTTGCTTCTGTCGCCTCTGGCGACGCTCATGGGGGCTTGGACCTGGATTTTTCTGTAAAGCTGCTTTGTGACAACACCTGTTGTAAAAAGCGTTATATAAATAAACGTTGCTTGCTTGCTAGAACACAACTGTGCCTGACTAAAATCTATATTATTATAAAACTAACGTTAGCTGTTTTCACAACACCCAGATCAAGATGATGATGAAGAAGGTGGCTCTGCATGTTTGTTGTGTCGCCGGTGTACTTTATTTTAACGACACAGTTCTTGCAAATCACGCAGTCTTCGCAAAATGAGAACGATACGATACACCGATCAGGCATAACATTATGACCACCTCCTTGGTTCTACCCTCATTGTCCATTTTATCAGCTCCACTTACTATATAGGTGCACTTTGTAGTTCTACAGTTACAGACTGTAGTCCATCTGTTTCTCTGCATACTATGTTAGCCCCCTTTTACCCTGTTCTTCAGTGTTCAGGACCCCCATGGACCCTCACAGAGCAGGTACTATTTGGGTGGTGGATCATTCTCAGCACTGCAGTAACACTGACGTGGTGGTGGTGTGTTAGTGTGTGTTGCGCTGGTCTGAGTGGATCAGACACAGCAGTGCTGCTGGAGTTTTTAAACACCTCAGTGTCGCTGCTGGACTGAGAATAGTCCACCAACCAAAAATATCCAGCCAACAGCGTCCTGTGGGCAGCGTCCTGTGACCACTGATGAAGGACTAGAGGATGACCAACACAAACTGTGCAGCAGCAGATGAGCTATCGTCTCTGATTTTACATCTACAAGGTCTTACATCCTACTGTAACCAACAGAAACAATCATACAGCAACCACACATTCTAGTGCACAGGATTTCTATTCTGTCAGAACAAAACCACGTATCTCCATTTTTGTCGATTATGAGTTTTTGTCATAGTCTGAAAATGCCTTTTCCCCTTTACAATGTTTGTAAATTTCATGATAAATGGACCAAAAGAAGACCAAAATTACTTAAAAAAGTCTGGTTCCATTCACGTACATTAAAATTAAGGTATGTTTTTTCCTTCTCCTGTAAAGTTTCCATTTTGGAGATAGAAGTTTTTTTCTGACAGCTGTTTTTAGTGCTGGAACGCACTGTGAGATGTTCTAATTGCAAAGTGATACATAAATGAAGTTGTCATTGTTACTATCATTATTATTATGCAACCAACAGTAATGTTCTCCTAACTTCACAATCTGCCATCACCAGAAGGCTCAGACTTATTTATGTTATTGATGATCATATGTCTGGTTGTGCTACCAGGTGCTGCTGTGGACCGTTTCCAAACGAACGGCCTGAGTCTGTCCTCCAAAAATGTTTTCTCCTTTGTGCCGGACGGTGTGTATGATGAGACCTGGTATGAGGTCACTGTCAAAGTGTCTGATGGGAAGTTCAGCACTGATGCAGTGGCCTACATCACTGTGGTCCCCTGGACCACCACAAAGCCCACCACAACTACCACCACAACTGTAAGTCCAGCAGCACAGACATTCAGCAGCACAATCAGGCAGGATTTAGCCAGAGCAACTCGATCCTCGTACTTTTGCTTCACTGCACATTTTGGTGTTTTCCCTTCGCTTTCTCACCTGATTCAGTTTGCAGATTGCCTGATGAGTTAATCAGGTGTGTCAGGACTGCAGAAACTCTAGACTGTATAGACTAAAGGCACAGAAGTCCAGCAGTGGGATCGAATAGTGCTGCTTTAACCCTCTGCACTCCAGTGCTGCACCGCCTACAGGATTAGCTGACTTCAATAACGATCCGTCATTCTTAAAGGAATACTCTAGAGGTTTTGTCTGTCTGCTGTATGTGAGACATACAGTTAATTACCAAAGACAAAAGTATCACTGTGATTAGAAGAAACAGAAACTCACTGACTCATAGCAGCGTCAACACTGCCTGTTGGTGAGTTTTGAGTCAAGTTGTTCTCTTCTTTACAGCACAGAGAAGTTACGGAGCCCCTGAAGGGACGTGGTGTATAATCCGATGCGCATCACATACTATCTTATACATACAAACATACATACTTCCAGGTGAGCACCAGATACTATGTGATGAGCACTAGATGCTATCAGGTGAGCCCAGATACTATATGATGAGCAGTAGATACTACATGGTGAGCACCAGATGCTGTCAGCTGAGCACAAATACTGTATGATGAGCGCCAGATTACTATGTGGTGAGCACCAGATGCTATCAGGTGAGCCCAGACAATGTCATGAGCACAAGATACTGAGTGGTGAGCATCAGATACTATGAAATGAGCAGTAGATACTATGTGGTGAGCACCAGAAACTATGTGGTGAGCACCAGAAACTATCAGGTGAGCACAGACAATGTCATGAGCACAAGATACTGAGTGGTGAGCATCAGATACTATGCGATGAGCAGTAGATACTATGTGGTGAGCACCAGAAACTATGTGGTGAGTACCAGATGCTATCAGGTGAGCACAGACAATGTCATGAGCACAAGATACTGAGTGGTGAGTATCAGATACTATGCGATGAGCAGTAGATACTATGTGGTGAGCACCAGAAACTATTTGGTGAGCGCCAGATGCTATCAGGTGAGCACAGATACTGTGTGATGAGCACCAGATTAACGTGATGAGCATCAGTTACTATGTGGTGAGCACCAGATGCTATCAGGTGAGCACAGATACTATGTAATGAGCAGTAGATACTATGTGGTGAGCACCAGATGCTATCAGGTGAGCACAGATACTGTGTGATGAGCACCAGATTAGCATGTGGTGAGCATCAGATACTATGTGGTGAGCACCAGATGCTATCAGGTGAGCACAGATACTATGTGATGAGCACTAGATGCTATCAGGTGAGCCCAGATACTATGTGGTGAGCACCAGATACTATGTGGTGAGCACCAGGTGCTATCAGGTGAGCACCAGATACTATTAAGTGCGCATCAGATACTGAACAGTAGATACTGTTAGGTGCACACCAGATACTATCAGGTAGGCCCTAGATACTATGTAGTGAGCACCCTGTACTATCTAGGCACAATACCATGTGTATCTGGTACGCACCTGATACTATCTAGTGCGCACCAGATTTATACCTAAAAAAATTCACCACGTCCTGTCAGGGGATCTGTAGAGAAGCGTGTCTCTGATAAAGATGGTATATCAGTATCGATGGGTGTCCGTATCGGGCCAGTAACAGAATCCTGTTATTCAGATACCTGTGAACTAAATAACTGAACAATTACACAGTTTTTTTCCTTCGCTTTGTTTTTTATTTGAGCTTCAGCTCACAGACTGTCATGGTTTTTGCTCCTGTGCCTGCCACAGAGTGAGGAACCATCTCAAAATTACTAACAGAAAAAGTGTTGCTATTATTATTATTAATAGTAGTGGCAGTAGTATTAGTATTAGTAGTTGTGGTATCTCTGGTAATACATCTGCTGATGTTTCTGGACACATCAGTGATGTTCTGGAAACATCAGCAGTTACTACTACTACTACTACTAATAATAATAATCTCTGATAGTGATCGACTTTAAGATGCAGACTTGACAGAGTTTAGCATGAAAAGCGTAGGATTATTCCTCTAACAAGGAGGGAAACACGGTTAGCACAGTAAAATGTGCTGCATTGTTGGCGCACAATTGAAAAAGGGCTCATCAAGACGTCCTGGTGTGATTGTAATTGCTAAATACAATGAATGGGGTTCAGTACGACGTTCTCTAACCTTGCAAAACCGTTCTGAAACTCTTCATCCTTTGTTTCACTCTGTTTTACACTCTAAAACACTAAAGGTGCCAGAAAGTTTTTATTACTATAGAAGAGCATACTTTAAGAAGTTTTCACAGTACACAATCTGTCACGGTATAATTTTTTCTGATATCTGATAAAATCGCAAAAGTCAGTGTAGTACCGCATAAAAGAAGAAGTATCAAAAACTGTGAATATGATCTGCATTTAACATTTCTCCTCCTGTGCTGCACTAAATCCAGTAAAACAGGATTAATTATGCTCTTTGTAATCAACGATGCAGTTGGGAAGTGTTTTAAGTACTGACGACATCCATGATACACTCACAACAGAATATTTTGATGTTATTGATCTCTACAATGATAAATATTGTCATACTGCTTCTTCGGTTCCCTGAAGAACTTCTGATCGGATGGAAGTGAGATTGGAGACACTTTCAGAGGTTCACAGAATCTCCACATAATGTGTAAATATTATTTACCAATTAAGACTTGTTTTTTTGTTTTTTTTATTCTGCTTACATGAACAACATTAATAAAACACTTTATTATATAAAGGTGCCGGTTTGTTTCACCCACCGTCCCTCTTTGTCCACACTAATCAGGCTCCTCTGCTCAACTGCACTGACTGAAAAGTGTCTGTTACAGACTGGAAACCAGTGATGACTGATCAAGTCGATTAGAAAGAACAGTGTCCTAGACGGCCTGTTTGTGTGTGTGTGTGTGTGTGTGTGTGTGTGTGTTTGTGTGTGTGTGTGTGTGTGTTTGTGCAGACACTGGCTCCTCAGGTGGTGACTGTGCTGATGGAGGTGTGGAATCCTGAGTCCTGGTTTGTTGTTGTTCTCACTCTAACTGGAGCTCTACTGCTGCTCACAGCCGGACTGCTCACCTGGAATATACTCGCACGGTACGGTCAGCTCACCTCTGGAAAACAGCGAGTGCCTTTACATGCACTCAATAATCTGATCATGATCAGATTTCTGCAGTTATCTGATTAGTCAAATGGTCATGTAAACAGCACAGTCCGATTTCTAAGATTTTCCTTGCTTTCGTTCAAAATATTAACAAAAATCTAACCTTTATTGGAATTACAATTATTAAAAGAAAAAAAAAAAACTAAATCTGATCCTGAAGTAAATATTTTTCTTAAATCTGTGTGTGATATAATTATTGGCACTCCTTCATTTAATACTTGGTGCAGCCTCCCTTTGCAAAGATGACAGCTCAGAGTCTCCTCCTATAACGCTTAATGAGACTGGAGAACACATGGCAAAGGATCTGAGACCATTCCTCCACACAGGACCTCTCCAGATCCTTCAGATTCTGAGGTTCACACTTGTGGACTCTCCTGTTCAGCTCATCCCACAGGTCTATGGGGTGTAGGTCAGGGGACCGGTGTGTCCATGGCAAAACCTTAATTCTGTGGTCAGTGAACCATTTTTGTGTTGTTTTTGAGGTGGACTTTGGATCACTGTCCTGCTGGAAGATCCAAACTATGGCCCATTTTAGGCTTCCTGGCTGAGGCAGTCAGGCTTTAATATCTGCTGGTACTTGATAGAGTCTGTGATACTGTGTATCCTAAGAAGTGGTTCAGGGCCTTTGGAAGACAAACAGCCCCACAACACCACAGATCCGCCACCATACTTCACTGTGGGGATGAGGTACTTTTCTGCATGGCTGTCTTTGTGTCCACACCAAACTTACTTTTTGTTGCCAGAAAAGCTCTATTTTGGTCTATAATGACCACAGAAGATGGTCCCTCTGAAAGTTCTGGTAAAATTTGGCAAACTGTAGGAGCTTGAGTTTGTTGGTCCTTGACAGCAGAGGTTTCTTCTGGCAGCTCCCCCAAACAACTTAGGGTTATATAGCTGGTGTTTGACTGTAGTTTGGGAGACATTCTGACCCCAAGACCTAACTAATGTCTGCAGTTCCCCAACTGTGATTCTTATAGATTCTCTGTCCACTCAACCCATCCTCCTCACTGTGTGTGGGGTCAGTATAGACATACGTCCTCTGGTCTTTCATATAGTGATGGATGACTTAGGGAATTTGGCCTGTGTGTAACCTAACCCTAACCCTAACCCTAACCCTAGCTCTTTATAACGACCCGTTTTGGTACAAATGTGTGTAAAGGCAGACTGCATGGCTGGGTGCTTGATTCTATACAGCTGTAGCAATAAGACTGTATGAAACACCTGAATTCAGTGATTTAGTGGTGTGTCCCAATACTTTTGTCCATATAGTGTGTATCAGTGAGTTTTGGCTGATTTAACTGCATTTTCTCCATCCACTTTACGAAAGCACACTTGCTTATGTTTTTTAGAACCTCAGTCCAGCAGATAAAGGACCAGCCGGAGGTTCTGCTGAGAGACAGGTGAGCTCGTTTATACGGATTATACAGCGCTCATCACGTTAATCTTTCATCTTCACTGGGATCTTTAGATCAAATCTTTTGCTTTGCTTGTAATCCCATCAGCGAGCAGACGACCAAAGAGGGGCCAGGAAGTGATGAGAGTGAGAAGGTAAAGCAGGATCTCTGGTCTTTCAGCTTAACTCACTCTAATATATCCACATACACGTATATTTATATATACACACACATTATTTATCATATTTCCAATATACATTATGAAATGAAGAAAAAAGACATGCCTCAAAACTCTGAGACAAAGATGATGTTCGTTTATTGTTGTTTATTTATTATTTTTAAAATAATATTATTGTTACCATTTTTACTATTTAACAGTAAATCAGTCTGTGGCCTTGTTAGGCAAATTTCTCCTGTATATATATACATATATATATGTAAAATAATCTGTCTCAAAACTGAACATTGGACGACAGCTAATTGTCAAGTAATTGTTGGTGTTAAGTTATAATAGTGAATAGTAAAAAGCAAAAAAATTTGCTTTCTAACCATTTTGTTAAGTTTTGAGCTTATTTTGAAGCCTCGACCAGAATGAGAGTTTTGAGGCTGATACTGATACCAATTGTAAAAGGCTAAAAATTCCAATATTTGATCATATCGGCCGATATATTTTTACATTTCACTGACGTTTTTCAGTTTTTTGACATAATTTGAAAATGCCTGGTGCCCCTTACGTTGTCTGTAAATTTCATGATGAATGGACCAAAAGAAACGGCCCAAAATTACTTGGAAAAAGGTCTGGTTCCATTATCATACATTAAAAGTCTCCTCTAACTTTATAATTTATGTTATTCACGATATGATGAAGTCTTTATTACGGTAAAATGTCACACTGCATGTTTATACTGATACATCTCCCACCTCTGTTGTGCTTAGTAAAATCAGTAGTGCTGTTTGGCCTTTATGATTGTCTTAAACTTAGAAGCCGTCATTTATATTTGGGCTTTTAATCAGCGTCTTCATTCAGAAATCAGCCTCTAATTAATAAAACCCTGCTGTTCCATCAAGGTGTCACTAGATGGCAGTGTTAGCCTCTCCAAAGTTCACATACAAGAAGACGTCATGGTAAGAGTGATTAGACTGTTTACACCACCATCACAACCACAATCAACAAAACAGTAACAAATACTGGTAGCTATGGTTTCTTATTATAGTTTTGCTCTAATATATTTTTATCCTGCAGAGGTTTGATGGTAAAGCTCAGGATCCGGGTAAGGAGCTCGCATTTACTGAATAATTAGTAACACCCTGCATCTCCTGCTACCTGTATAACTTGTATAATACCACACATATGTGTATATATTTTATTTATTACACTGTGTGTTTATTATATTTTCTCTCTTTGAGCACCAGAACCAGGTCTTTGTATGTGAAAAGGTGTTTGGTACTAAAATGGTACTAAACAGAAACATATGAAAAACAGCTTTTAAAACTACCTATTTTTTGCCATCATATGAGTGTAAAAGTCACCTTTAAGCTGTATGTGTTGCACCATATAAAGAGCTTATGGGCAGTTTAGAGGAGCCTTTGTCTCCCTAATGAATCTAGCTCTGTTTGAGAAGTGTAAATGTGTCCCTGTTGTGTTTCCAGTGTCAGGGCGGAGTTACCTGTTCAGCTCGCTGACAGGAGAGCGCCGCTGGCTGGATAAGGTAGCACCTGCACCTGCAGACACACACGTCTAACGCTCTGAAGTCCACTTATGATGGTTGCATGACTGTTTGCACCGAAAGTCACTTTTACATGACCATCCAACCTTTGAATGATCAAATTAAACAGGCTGTTTTGTTGCTGAGACTTTAATACTGATATGTAAATGAGCTCTTTTCTAATTGGCTGTTCTGTACTGTGCCCGATTGTAGAAGCAGGCACTCCCTGTAATGTCTGCGTGAGTGGGCGGGGCTAAACTGCTGTAGGCTGACTAGGCGGTTATATTTAAATGTGTTGATTTTTGTGACATCACAGAAATTCAAAATGGGCTGTTTTTGCAGCTTAGTTTCTAAGTATGGCCTGTATGGGATGAGTCAACAGTACATTTTGAAAACTGAACAATGTATAATACTACAGAAATCATTTCCCCTGATATGGTTGCTTTAAGCATGTGGGATCATGATAACTGGTCCATACTAGTTTTCATGTGTTAGCATTGTTGTTAACACTTAAATAATTGAGCCACAGACGTCCAGTGAGAGCAACCGTGTCTGCATGTTCTAACCCAGGGGTCGCAACCCAAATGTTAAGAAGAGCCGTTTTGTCCTTTCAACAAACATCAAACCACCTTGGGAGCCACAACATTTAATGTCCATTTTATTGAAGTAACGCTTTACCATTTTGGATCAAAATATGTCTGTGTGTGCTGATGTACTAGTACAGACTAAAAAATATAAATGAAAACGCACTCATTTTGCTCTGCTTTAAGCTTTAGCTCAGCTATAGCTGCTTTTCTCGCATCTCCGGCAGGAAACCTTTCCGCAAAAGTAGAACAGTTTCTTGTAAAACGTCTCTCAGCGATCAATTTTTACGAGGCTGAAGTCACTTCTCATTCGGCAGCTGCTTGTATGAATTTTCCTGTTCCACCTTAAATGGAGCCTGAGGGAGGCACCAGAATGTAACTGCTGCATCATTTAAGGTGGAACGGGAGAGTTCGAACAAGAAGCTGGCGAATGAGAAACTGAGACTTCAGCTTCACGACTTTTTAGTGTTTGACAGTTTCTCGGTGCAGATTAAACGTATCAGGAAACCAGCAGGAGTGATTATAAACACAAATAAGTCCATTAATCTCCAAATTATCAATGTTGGTCTTAAATCTCTATCTTTTCGTTAGCTACTAGCTAGATGAGACTGTTGCCATGGTGACCAGCAGTCTGCGCACCAGTCTTCAGGGTTAAAGGGTGAATCAGCAGTTCTACATTAACTCCAGAGTTTAAAATCATTTATTGTTAAACTGTGTTGAACGATCAGCAGAGCTTTATTTTACTATAAAGGAGGATTATTTTATTTTTTACCTACAAATCTAATTCTGCTGTGGAGCCAACAGGACAGTAAAAGAGCCGCATGTTGCCGACCGCTGACCTAAACAATGAGTGTGTTTATAGTCAGTGGTTCAGCTCCTCTGCGATGGCAGCCTCTCGCTCTTGTTTATACAGCTTGTGGGTTCTTGTTACAGTGGAGGCTTTCCAGGCAAACTGGAGCTTTGCTGTTGCGTTCATCAGTTTCCTTGTGGTTGATTTATCCTTAGTTCTTCTGTGAACACTGTCCAGTGTCGTCCGCTGAAGGTTTCACTTTAAAAAACCATTTAAAAGCTGTGTTTGAACGAGAGAGCTGCTATCATGGATTCTATCAGAGCAACATACAGTGGGCTACAGCCTGAAGGGTCAAACTGGTTCTACCAGTATTAAACATTATACAGGTAAATGTTTATTTGAGCTTTATAAATTTGCAAACGATATCTTTTTGCTCCTCATCCACTGCTGTGACTCCACATAACCCCAAAATCAACAACGCAAAGATGTGTGTGACCACTGAGACACAACGGTTCTAGTGACTTAACTTTTATTTAAATTAAATCATTATATAGGACTTTTCAAAGCATTTAAACTTTACCAAAAAAACTACCCTTTTTAACTCAATTAGATTTTTGACTCTCATTAGTTAATAACTATTTCTCCTTATATGGTGACGAGTACAGTAGAGGAGAGGAGGTGAAGGAAAAAAAAAAAAGTCAAAGTCCAATGGAAATAAAGACACAAACAGAACGCAAAAACAACAGCGGGTGGAATGAGTAGGTCAGGGTAGAGTGGAAAGGAACTATTCTTACATACATACATTAAATACCAGCTCAAATTCAGCACGTCTTTCTGCTTCTTCTCTAATCTTTTTGTTCTTTTTCTAGATTTTGTATTTTTTTTTTCTTTTTCATTTAACTTTAAAAGGAATGTTATGATGTCGAGATTGTGAGATTACTATGCTATATAACTGCTGTCTTCCACCATGCAGGATGTATGATGTCTGACTATAAATGATGACATGTAAACATTACTTAAAAAAAAACTTTCCTTTTCGATCTTATCTCTGTCTGCTGCTGTTTATAAAAACACACTTTATGCAATTAAAAGTTTAATAAAATTTGCACATCAGATTTTCTAGAGTAAAATGAAAGTATTCATATAAAAAGTTTCTTGTTGCCTCTGCTAATATTCAAAAAAAGAAAAATAAAACAATGAAAAACATCAAGGAAAAAAAAATAATAATACAACAATCGTTGATTTGTGGTCAAAGCCCAAAGAGGTTAATAATACAAGATGGTTGGAGCTGCTGTCTAAAATCAAACAGGAAAGGAGCTGTTGGGGCTGAAATGAGGGATAGAGGGACAGAGGGAGAGAAGACGCTGGTGGGCCAGGGGGAGGTTGGCTGAAATTCTGTGTTTGGCTCCTCGGAGCTTTCCGGCTCTCCAGCTTTCCAAAACCAGACTGTAGCAGGAATCAGTTATAATCGGCCAGTGCAGTCAGTCAGGACGCGTTCTCACCTTCACCTGCTCATCATGACAGTTCAAGTAATCTGAGAGAGAGAGAGAGAAAGAGAGGGAGACTGAATGTATGTTTGCAGAAATGTAAATCTGTATGTACATAGAGTGTGTGTCAATTATAGGGCTGCAAGGATTAGTTAACATCAATAATGAAAAACAGTGTTTATTGTTGATCCCTTCCTTAACATTCAAATGGCTTGAGCGTCTCCTACAGCTGTCAAAGTTGCTTAGCAACGGCGTCTCAGTGGAGTGATAGTGTTTGTGAAAAAGCGTGCTGTTATGGCGAAATAGCATGGTTAGAACGCTTCTCAACCAATCAGCTTGCGTGGCCGGAACTAACTGTTCTATAATGTTCATATGACTCATGTAGTTGTTCTGACAGATTGTTACACCTTTCAGGAAGTGTAGGGGGCGATATGACTTCTATTGTTTCTTTGTACCATAAAAGACATAAGATGAAATATCCTGTCAGACGGTGGTAGCAAAGGAAAAGGAATAATTAGATTAGTCAATTAACCAAATGAAAGTCAAAAGGTTAATCAATCATAGAATAGTAGCTTCGTTAGTTGCAGCTCTAGTAATTCTTTTACACATTACATGTGTGGAGTCCCTCACCTCGGCCCTTTATCAGCCTTTCCTCTAGAAGAGTCCACAGTCCCTCAGGTTGTTCTTGATGATGACGTCGGTGACAGCGTCAAAGACAAACTGGATGTTCTTGGTATCGGTGGCGCAGGTGAAGTGGGAGTAAATCTCCTTGGTGTCCTTCTTCTTGTTCAGATCCTCAAACTTGGTGCGGATGTACTCAGACGCCTCGTCATACTTATTGGCACCTGAAGTCAGACCAGGAACAGTGTGGGTTGGAGTTCATGAGCACAGCAGGACAACAGAACAGGCCCACTCAGCTGGAGTACAGCACTTAGTATTCCCTTCTAATTGAGTGGATTTTTGTTGGACCTTTGTGATCAGTTGCAACTGGGTTTTTGAAGCATGTTCTGTTAGATTTTAGTGCTTAGTTGTAACTGAGTGCTTAGAACAGGATTTGTTGGACCCGAGTACTCTACTGTAGCAGAGCACGGAGCAGAATTTTGTTGTACTTGATCTGTCTAATCTATTCCAACTGCATGCTTAAAATTTTTTGTTGGGCCAGGGTACTCTGTTGAAACTGGGCACTGGGAGCAGGATTTTTGCTGGGCCTGAGTACTCTGTTGTAACTGGGTGCTTGGAGCAGTATTTTTATTGGACCTGAGTACTCTCTTGTAACTGGGCACTTGGAGCAGGGTTTTTATTGGACCTGAGTGCTCTGTTGTAACTGGGCACTGGGAGCAGGATTTTTATTGGACCTGAGTACTCTCTTGTAACTGGGCACTGGGAGCAGGATTTTTATTTGACCTGAGTGCTCTGTTGTAACTGGATGCTTGGAGCAGTATTTTTATTGGACCCGAGTACTCTGTTGTAACTGTGCACTGGGAGCAGGATTTTTGTTGGACCCAAGTACTCTGTTGTAACTGGGTGCTTGGAGCAGAATTTTTATTGGACCTACGTACTCTGTTGTAACTGGGCACTTGGAGCAGGATTTTTGTTGGACCTAAGTACTCTGTTGTAACTGTGCACTGGGAGCAGGATTTTTGTTGGACCTAAGTACTCTGTTGTAACTGGGCGCTTGGAGCAGTATTTTTGTTGGGCCTGAGTGCTCTGTTATAACTGGGCACTTGGAGCAGGATTTTATTGGACCTAAGTGCTCTGTTGTAACTGGATGATTGATGAAGGATTTTTATTGTACCCGAGTACTCTATTCTAAATGGGTGCTTGATGAAGAATTGTTGTACCTGAGTACTCAGGGAAGCAGATGGACAGAGCACTGTGTGCAATCTTCTCCTCAAACAGATCCTTCTTGTTGAGGAAGAGGATGATGGATGTCTCCGTGAACCACTTATTGTTGCAGATGCTGTCGAACAGCTTCATGCTCTCATGCATCCGGTTCTGAGAGAATGAGAAAAGAAAAAGAGAGAGAGAGAGAGAGAGAGAGAGAGAGAGAGAGAGAGAGACAGAGAGAGAGAGAGAGAGAGAGAGAGAGGACAAGAGAAAGCAAACAAAATGGATGTTTTCAGATAATTAATTCAGCCGTCTTGTGTAGAGTGATAAGAAACATGTAACAGAACT